ACCATGTCTCCTAAAAGCTTTGCCACATTGCTTACATGTGTAGTGTTTTTCCCCTCTGCACATTCTTTCATGGATTCTACAATCAGTGTGTGTGCTGAAAGCATTTCCACATTGTTTACATACATAGGATTTCTCTGCAGTGTGAGCTCTTTCATGTGTTTGACAATAACTCTGTGTGCTGAGAGTTTCCCCACAGTGCTTACATACATAAAGCTTCTCATTGTGAGTTTTTTCATGACTATCAAATGAAGTATTATGAGTGAAGGATTTCCCACAGTGTTTACATACATAAGGTTTTTCTCTAGTAGAAGCTCTTTTATGTATCTGAATATCATGTTGAGAGTTAAAATTGTCTCCACATTGTACATCTATGTATGTATTCACTCTACTATGATTTCTTTCACAGATTTGAACATAGCTGGCTGTACTGAGGGCTATTACATCCCCCTTATACACAAAAGTTTTCTCTTTAGTGTTAGTTCCTTCAGTGCAATCCCAGGAGAATTTTCCACATTGTTTGTATTCATATGGTTTTTCTCCTGGATTTGTCTTTGCATGCTTCTGAAGGGACTGACTGTCCATGTAAATTTTCCCACGATTGTTGCAGTTAGACAGCTTCTCTTCAAATCCCTGATATTCACATGATTTGAGTTCAGTGGTAGCTAAGATGGGAACAGTTGGTGATGAATGTCTAATCAGGAGCTTTCTACAGGCAAAGCTTTCAGTTGGTTCTGTATCAATTAGTTTCATGTTCATATTAATAACTGGAGTAAGAAAGACCACTTCTCCATGTTGATACCGTAATTTGTATTTATAGCATTTCTCCACCTCTTCACTTCTGTAAAAGTATAAAATAACAAAACTGGTACTGTTACACAAGTATATCCTATGCTATTTCTGATGATTATTTCTGATACTTTCTCCTCCACGACTACCCGCTTATCCTTCCACTGAGTCTCTTCACCCTACCATCTCTCCTTTATTTTCTTCCTTAATTTATATTTTGGGTTTCTCATACTAAATATAACATGTTATTAAATTTTTTTTGCTTGAATTTTTTATTTTTTTGGGTTTTGGTTCCTTCCATTTTTTGGAACTTGCTTTTTTTTCTTTTTTTTTTATGGTTGAACACTATTCTACTATGTATATACCCACATTTTTTCCAGTGCTGGAGATTTAATGAAGAGTTTTAGCACTGATCTACATCTCCAGTCTTATTTGTTTTGTGTTTTAAGACAGTCTTATTAATCATTTAGTTGGCAGGCTGAGCATTAATGAATGATCATACTCCTCAACTTCTCATAGTTCTAGGATTCTAAGCATGCATCATCATGGCTAGGCTATCCCATATTTCCTCAATCAAATCATCTGGGCATGGGCATCCAGGCTGTTTGGAGACCTTAGCTTTTGTGAGTTGTGCAGCTATGTGCAGGGGCATGCATTCATCACTTTCAATTTGGGGAAAATATATCCAGAAAAAGTACAGCAGGATAAAATGGAATTTCTCTTTTTACTTTTTTGAGGACTGTCTGTATACATTTTCATAGATGTTATACTTCAATAACATTCCCACCAATGATACTGGAAGGTGACTGCTAGTGTTTTGGAAAATGAATGCACTGAATTCTTGGAAAATTGCCTGAAAACATATATTATCATAGCACTGACATTCATTTAGATATTAAATACTTCCACAAAGTAAGCAAATTTGTAAATATGGATGCCACATTTAAATACATATAATTTTCCTTACATAACTTATTTGATATGAAGGTTGTCTTTGGAAAATAATACATATCTATGAATATCCTGGACTTGGTTCTCAGTCTGAACAAAAACTATGTTTTGTATACTGCTACAGTCAGTCTCTAAAAGCAATTTTTATAAACTTAAGCCTAAAAAGTAATTTATTCTTCCACATTAAGTAATATCACCAGTGGCATGATGTCCGTACAGCCTGCATTTCAGATATTCTAATATATCAAATATTCAAGCAAATTATAGATGCTCAACATGTATACATTTATGGAGAAATTTAATGAGATTAAAGAAATTTGAAAATGGTCTCATTTGTATAGATTTCTTGGTTTTAATATTTCTTTCTCTTGAAGAATATTCTACTGGTGAAAATAAATTACCTTAGAGTTTCACTGCAAATTTTGTATTCACCTTCCATCTGTTGGTCATCCCAGTTCCTTCCTAAAGTATAGAAACAGAAATGTTATGGCTTGTCTAGATGGCTTCCCAAAGCGTAATGCAGTCATAGGTGGAGCTATTTGGAGATGGCTGGATCTGGCATGTGTGATACTGAGATTATCATGTGCTACTGAGATTAACTTGTGGTGCAACACTAGGATTAAAGGTGCACCATCCTGGGAGTGATTGCTACTTGTCTTAAGGGTGGGGAGCCTGGGTAGAAAATAAGGGACAGAAAAGAGGGCTGCTGTTGTTGATTGCTCCTTGCTGCCCTGTTTGATGCCCGTATGCCATGCCACCCTGCCTTGAAGTCTGCTGTCTACAGCTTGAAATGTCTACAAACTGTAAGCTGCATAAACCTTTGTCATTTAACCTTGGGTATGGGATATTTTGTTTCAGCAATGAGAAAAATAACTAAGACAAAAATATGATGACTTGCTACATTACATGAAAGTCTATAGATTCCAGTTAAATTCATAGTATAATATGACTATGCCTAGAGGAGTCATAAAGTGTTTCCATATTCCAATTTAGTAAATGGCACTGATGAACAACAAACAATGTTCTGTGAATGCATAAATGGAAAAGGATGTCTTCCTTACCTATAGCAGCCACATTCCTAAAGTTTTCCCACATCACGTCTTTGTAGAGCTTCTTCTGGGAAGGATCCAGCAAAGCCCACTCCTCCATGGTGAAGTCCACGGCCACATCCTCAAAGGACACTGCCTCCTAAATCATCACACATATATATCCAAGAAGAGTGAGAATCACAACGTGAAATATTTCAACTCCATTTACAAAATATCCTCCCTGGAAGAAAGACAGCTTCTTCTGATGCTGGAAAAACTAACTTTTCACATGCCAAACATGAAAATCAGACCCATATATTTCATCATATACTGAACTAAAATAAAAATCAATCATGGATATAAATATTAAAATGGAAAAACTAAATCTGCTGGACGATAGAGTAGGTAGAACTCTTGAAGACATTTCAGTAGGCAAGGACATTATAAACAAAACTCTGACTTCACAGAAAATACAACAAATGCTTGTGGGATTGTTGGGAAAAAGGAAACCTTCTCCACTCTTAGTGGGGACGCAGACTGGTGCACCTCTGTGAAAATTAGTGTGAAAATTTCTCAAAAAACTAGAAATACGTGTTCCATTTCACCCAACTATTCCACCTCTTGGTATTCTCCCACAAGAGTTAAAAGCATCATATCACCATGATATATACAAACATCCATGTTTATAGTGGCACAGTGTGTAATAGATAAATCTTGCAAACAGCCCAAATGTCCATCAACTGATGAGTGGATAAAGGCATTTTTTTTAATACAATGGAATAGCACTCTGTCATAAAAGAAGGATGAGCTCAAGACATTTCTAGACAAATGGATGCACTTTGAGACCATAAGTTTAAGTGAAATAAATTGAACACACATGTGTAAATATCACATTGTTTCTCTGGTGTGAGAAACTGAAAGTGTAAATAAGGATCAAAATGTGTAATAGATATTGGGAAATGAGAAAAAATATTCAAATGAGAAGGGAAACAAAGGAGGGGGCAAAGGAAGTAAGGGACAAGAAAAAAAGAGGGAAAAATGGAAACAAAGCTTTTTAAATAAGGAGAGGAAGAGGGGTTGAGGGAAGGGAGGGGAGTGGGAAAAAACACAAAGCAAGATATATCATGCATAGATACAAATTCATTATGATGAATGTTATACATCTCTAAAATGTACCAATAAAATTTTTAAAAACATAAAATAAACATGGAAGTGGCATGTTATTAACTATATAGAAAAAGTTTATTTTTTGTTTGTTCTTTGGGTATTCAGCTATTTATTTATTGTATTTTTGGATGTAGCACAGGAGTTTAAACATGCTTCCAAAGTGCTCTGTCACTGAACCGCTTTGCTAACAATGTTAAATCTTTCTTCATAATTTCATGTCCCATCACTTCTCGGCCTTTTGGCTAAGATCAAGTGCATAATTTCATGGCCTTTACAAAAACCCTACAATGACTTTGGCCATATGGGAAAATTTTTAGAAATTTAGCAATTCACTGTCATCACAACAAAGCCTGGGATTCAGGAGACAATTTGAGTGATCCTGTATCCTACATATTTAGCTTTACCAGGTGGCTTAGCGAGTTTCACATCCTTGAGACAAAATACCCAACATGCAGAATTTGAAAGAGGATAAAATTAATTTGGCTCAGAGTTTTAGTCCCTGATACACTGTCTTAAAGGCAGAATCAGGGCAGTGGAGAGAAGATACTTGACTCATCCAGCAAGGAAGATGATAAAGATGGGAGGAAACAGAGACAAACATATGTATATCTTTCCACATCACCAGGGATCTATGTCCAATGAGTCTCCAGCTCTTGACAGTACATTCAGCTATTGAATTCATCAATGGGTGAATCCACTGATAAATATAAAGCACAGTTAAGCACTTTAAACATCAATATAACACATTGGTGGTATATTTTAGATACAAAACATAACACCAAGATTACTGATGGTATAAAGACAAGGTATTAACCTACTGCATTGATACTCACACACAAAACTCACATGTGAGTCTGAAGTCTTCCAGCAACTCTTGTTCTGTCACTGCCCAATACAGAGAGAAGTGGGTGGCAGGCGCTCAGCTTCATGAGATAGGACTGTGGATACTTTGAAATAATCTCACTTGAGCAGGGCAGGATGCTTAGTTCCTCTCATCTGTTTAGGGCCTCCTTGAGGACCACAAATTTCAAGGGCATAGCAACAATAGTAGGCATATAGGAACAAAAATGCCTCAGCTCATGCAGGGAAGGTCAGACCCAGACAACGCTATTTCTGTCCATTTTGACCACACATTATGGCTCCACCAGATCCTCCACTACTGTCTTGGGTCCCTCCTGTCTGGGTAATGTCTGCCCATTAACCAGATGCATAATTTCAGGTCTCCCATGGTTCTTCCTTGGGAGAGTTGTCCTAAAACTATGAGCCAGTTGAATCTACAGAGCAATTCAGTCTGAGCTGGGAGGGACAGTTCTCAGCAACACACTGAAAGATTCAGATTTGGGTACTAGACAGAGTAAGATTCTTTTCTCTGGGCACCGTGAGAGACTGGATGGTTCATATAGTACCAACCTTTCTTCACTGCTGTATTGCTGCTCCATTTTCCATGAAGATCAAGAGGAATCCAAGAAGAACAAGAGGAACCAGATAGTCGAGTGGAGCCCAAATAACAAGACTCTAACCAAAACCTGTCCCAGCCCCAGCTTTCTCTTGAGATATTGATTTCACTTAACCCAAGAGAAAATAGCACTGGAGCAGAATTGCTACTACCCTTTCAGAGCTGCCACTATCTCCTTGGTGTACTCCATGGGCTTTTCCCGTGTGATGTCCCTAAAAATAGCATCACAACTTTGTTCCTGGAATTAGCAACTCAATGTCACATGGAGAAAATTCTCAATCCCAAAGAACAACTTGGATCCAGCCAAGGGCAAGAAAGACATAATGGAATAGAAGAGAAGTCCTAATGTTGTAAGAAAGCAGTTTGAGTGAGGAACTTGGCTCCATAGCACAGATTTTGTCACAGTTTATTTCTCATTCTATTCATTTTCCAGGCAAATAAAATATACTAGAAATAAATACATTTCCTTAATAAATTATGAAACAGGAATGATATGACAGCAGTATTATGCAATGAAATCAGTGTGAAAGAAAACACTTCAAGTGCCTCAGAGAGGCAACCTACTTCATCCACATCACAAAGAAAATCTGAATGCCAAAGACTAATAACATTTATAATTATGAAGGCCACAGTGATAGTTGAAATACAGTCTCACCCTCAATGAACCAGGGACGCCTAAGTACTTAACACTGTAGACTTTCTGTAGTAACTTCCTCACAGGTTAAGAAATTTCTTTCTTCAACACACTGATTTTACCACAGAAGAGATCTCACCTGAAATCATGTGGTCAGTCCTGATAATCAATCAGATTGGTCTGAGAGATACCTATGAAATTAGTAAAACTCATTTCTGTATCTGAATCATGCCTGAGTGCATGACTATAGGAACTATATCTATTGTTCCATTCCTCTCAGTCTCTCTGAGCCCCCTGCGTCCTGTTTGCCATGAGGTAGGCAGCTTTCCTTTTGCATGTTATTTTTTCATGGTATTTCCTCTTTGGAGCTAGAAGTTGGCCTACAATCCCTAAATCTACAAGCTGACACAATACTTTTCTACTTCAGTTGTATATGTGAAGCATATTGTCCAAGTAGCAAAAACATAATACCATATACTTTATGTGTATGACCTAAATAAAGTGTCTAAATGAGTCTTTCTTTATATATAACATTCACAGGTATCTGTACAAATTATGGCTTGGACACAGCCATGTTTTACATGTATAAACCAAATGATTTGCACAAATAACCTCATAAAACTAATAGCAACATAAAAATATATGCATTTGAGACACTTACTTTTATAAATTCCCTATAAAAATATATATATTTGGGACACTTACAGGTATAAATTCTCTATTATCAATGTTATCTAAAATGTAGCAATAAAAAAACCAACAAAAATATATAAATAAAAATTGTAATTGTCTAGTGGGCTGAAATAGTAAATTCTTCTAGTGGATCTATGGGGAGGAAAGAGTTGAGTTAATTATCAAAGACAAAGATAACTATGGGAATATGCTAGAATTTTCCATGAACACCCCTAAAGGACAGTGACCAAAATTTTATGGTTGCTTACCTCACAGTAACATGAGGAGTTTGGGTCCTCCAGATAAAGTATGCAAGACCCACTCCATCCTTGGCCCATACTTTGCCATGCACCTGTTCCTTTGGGCTATTCTTGGGTTGTTTTCTTATTAAATGGTAATAGTAAGAGTTTTCCTGAGTCCTGAGATTCTTTCCAAGGAATGAGAATAAATTGTTAGATTATGAGTGTAAGAATTGATAGTCACAATAGGCAAAATTATGTTACTCTGGAATCCAAATCTGACTAGTGTAAGACATCAAAGAGTTCCAACAGAATAGCATGTTTTACCTGTGGATTCAGTCATTAATTTGAGGTTGTGTCAGAATTCACTGAAACTGCTAGGGACACAGCTGGTGCTTCCTACAGTGAACTTTTTACATGTGTAAAAAGATACCTCATTACTGCTTTCAGAAGTGTTGTAGGTAAAATCTGTTCACTTCTTCTACCCCTGTGTGCAATATTTTACTGTATCCATATGCTCAACAGTAGTCTGAAATCTGGCATCTCGTCAGAGCTTAGGATAATCACACCTACATGAAACACATTTTCTCTGTCTAACCTCAACCTCGATTTCCCCTTAGATTCTGTTCTTTCCACAGATAGGACAAACTCTGTACTAACAGACATTTGACCAGGAACTCATGCTTATATCAAACACATTGCTACAGACTTTGGGAAAATTGCTGAACAACATTTCTGTAAGTTGATGGAGGCCTCCTGTATTACATATCACTTAAACTTATAGATGTAGACTTGAATAAAACTATGATGATTATCTATAAAGATATGCAGATATTCCAGGCAACACCTTATGTGAAACTATGCAAAAATCACTGAAAATGTTGGCGGGATATACTGCCATTCAACTTCCATCTGCATTTATTCAAAATTATTTGAGTTTCCTATTTATATAGCAGGAAGTTTTCAAAGGCAAGTTTTTGTACCATATGCTCTTGACTTTTTCACTTGTATTCTTTTATGTTTGAGAAGTTCCTATGCCAGTACCTCTGGACATTGCTTTTGGAATACACAACTCCAGATGACAGCAGCAGGATTTTTCGTCCCTGAGAAGGAAGAAGTCATGGACTGAAACAAAGATTAAGGAGTAATGATAAATTAAGAAACATAAATCTCCCATTAGGACTAGATGGCAACTATAGTGACACAATAATCTGTTTAAAGACACATGTGTATTTTTCTTCACATCTCCATCTATGTGGTATTTAGACAGTAATTTCTCTATTCTCTGGTGTTTTAGCAAGCAATATTGTGTCAAATAGAACTGGACTTCATAAGGTCATTAAAAGTATAAAAGAATCTAATGTATAAACAATATTTTGCATGTAGGAAGCACTTATTTGCTATGTGTATGGTCGTAGGATATCAAACACAGGCTTGGAACATATATGTGGTTATAAGAGGAGTAATTTTTGTCTTAAAAGTACACATAATATAAGCAGGTAGACAAGACAGAGAAGAGCCAGAAAGGTGAAATGGATCTTATCTAATCTCATGGCACATTTTGAAGTTTCCAGAGCAAAAGACCAAGGAGGATTTAACTATATTAAGCAGTAGAGTGGGAGCTGAAGGTGGAAAATGATAAAGTGGGAGCATTTTCTTTTGAAAAGATGAAATTGTCACTGACAGAGCAGTGACTTACAATGCTGCCTAGCATCTTGAATGACGCTTATACCATGCACCTCTAGTGTGCAAACAGAATAAAATTAAAAAAAAAAAAAACAAAGTAAATTCTCCACTGAATACTAATGACTTTCTCTTTCATTCTGTAGCACTGGAAATTGAATTCAGGGCCTTGTGCATGTTTTACAAATTACTTTAGATTGGAGATCTGCAATGCATTTAGATCTGCCCATTTATACTTTCTGTTGACCTGGATCTTGCTCCATTGTCCTGGCTGGCTTCAGTATTACAAACTTCTTGCCTCAGTGTCCCAAGTTGTAGGATGAAAAGTGGGAACAACAGGCCTCGCTGAAGTTTCACCTAACCAAGCATTGTAACGCCACTTAACAGTGGTAATAAAATAACCCCTATCTTTGCTAGACATGTTTGTCCATGCCGGTAATCTCAGAATTGCAGCAGGGTAAAACAACATCAGAAGTTCACTGCAGCCTGGGAAACTCAGTGAGACCTAGTCTCAAATTTAAAAACAAAATATTAGGAAGTGTGGGGAATATAATTCAGAGAAAAAGCCCTGAGTTCACTTCTGAGTCCAATAAAAACATCAATCACAGCTTGCAATCTTTTGTCTCATGGAGAAATCCCTTCCCATCACACTTAAATGATCATATCCAACAATTTTTAGGCCTACAACAAAGCTACCTTCTTATTTCCAATTTTTCCTCAGAAATGATTAGGTTAACTGTTCACTAGAAGCAAAAGACATATTTATCTAACTTTTACTAATTTCTTCACTTTCCTGCAGGCTTGTGACCTTTGACCCACTTTTAGCTTGAGCCCAGAAACAGTTACTTTTCACACATAGAACAATCTGACATCAGGGGGAGACTTTTTCCTCTTTTATGTTTGGATTTTGTCACTCTCTCCATCTCTACTCTGCCACTTTTTTTCTCCTCCTATTTTCTACCCACACCCAAAAAAATCCGCTTAACCCTCAGAATTCAAATGCCTGCAGACCTCACATTTAGGGTTTTACCTTTAGAGCTAACCCAGTAGTTCTTTAATATAAAGCCCACCTCAATCAGCATTTCCATTTTTAAAACAATGCCTACAAATAGTCCAAGGGCTGTAACATTATATGAGATGACACCTCTTTCCTCTTCCATCATAACAAATCTCATGTAAATGTAGATGCTCAAGTTCAGTGTTTTTTCACACAGTGCATTCAACATTCAGTCCCTCATGGAAGGAGTCCTTAGCAGGAACACTTTCTCCTGCCTCTGCTAATACATCAACATCACCTCCATTCTTCTTAGCATTCTAAACTCTATGGCAGGTCCTCACCACATAGTCTATTTGTTACTAGAAGTGACACCGGAACAATTAAGCCAATCAGTTTTTTGCACTTCTTTATGGAACACAGGCGTTCCGGGCATGCATACAAGCACTCCAGTACTGAGTCAAATAAAAAATGAAGTTAACACTGTCTTCGCATTCTCATGGCATTTTCTGTCAACTACTATGACTATGGAAATGTGGGGATATACTGGAAATTTTGGAATTCACTCTACTCATGAAGGAGCATTGACTTGAGAAGATAAGTTGAGGGTTTAAAACACATTGTCACAGACATTTATAGAATTGATATCCACCAGGTCGGCTGGTGGGAGGGGTGAGACCAGGAAACCAGCACAGCACAGCTCCTTCAGAATGAAACCTGACCGGAAGCTGGGTCATCCCAAAACTCACATTCTACCCACAGGTGGAGATGCGGCTGTGGGCTGCAGCCGCTTGACATTGGTCCCAAGGCGGCTATGGTGAGACCTGCTGCTGGGTACCCAAAATGGGGCAGCTGCAGCCAAAGCAGGAGGGACAAACGGTACCAGGGATAGAGACCAGAAAGAACTCAGACCCTGCATCGGGCAGGGAGGCTCCGGTCTGCCATTGCTGTTTCTTCCCCTTCCGGGCTGAGCTCATCAACATCGCATTCCCTTCTGTCCCACCTCAGGGCACCCATCCCATACTATTACCATTGCGTGGCTTGGGGGGTCCTCCAGGGTCCTTCCAATGCAGGCTGCAGCCAGCAGAAATCCTAAAGCAAAGCCGTGCAGCCAGGCGATCCGGCTGTCTGCACAGTGCTCAAGACCTGGTATTTAGAACCTGGCAACAGAGCCCGCCTCCCTTGCCCCACCTGATTGGACAGTTCTTCCAGCTTGCTCTTGAACACTGATTTGCTCCTGCTTCATTGCCCTTCCTGGCAGCTGTGAGGAGACAAACAGAGTGACAGCAGAAACTGATCCCTGCTGGTGTGAGTGGAGCACAGATCTTAGATTGTAACTCAGAGCCTTCTGACCAGTTTCTCTCCCAGCATGCTTACCTGTCTAAGCTGCACTTAGGCAGAGTTTATTCCTACTCAGCAGAGCTGCCACTGTCTTTTTTATTTGACAGGGTCTCACGTGTCATTTTCTCTGTTTCTAAACTCAAACTAGAGCCCAGAGTAGCCTTGAGCTCAGTTATTTTCCTGTATTACCCTCTTACTGCTTGGTTTTAAGCATAGCACTCCACACTCAGCTACTCCTAACTTTTACTGGACTCAGTAGATCCTTCCTGTGTGTTTCTCTTTAAAGTGGGGTCACACATGGCAAGCCCTCTACGTCCATATGCCAAGACAGTTCCAGAGTTAGTTCATTATGGACAAACCACTATGAGAGAATGCCTTGAGTATAGGCAAGGACCAGACACAATGGACTAGAGGGAGGGCCTGACCTTGTGGGAGGTGAAAAATATGCAATATCATAGTTGGCTTAATGCACATGGCTTCCTCACACTGTATCTCTCAATTTACTCGTTTTAAACCAAGAAAAAAAGTATGTCCTAACTAAGAATACAGTTGTTACATAAATTTACTTCCTGATGTTGAAGAGGGGAAACATAAGGACTTCAGAGTCTAAGTTTCGCATATCCTGTAATTTCCTCCTTACAGGTTGAAACTCTCCATCTTTCAACATGTTAATATTCCCAGAAGGTAACTCTTACCTGGAGTCATATGATGCTCTTGATAAATGCCTTGTTTTTTATGAGAGGTGGGTATTAGTAAAGTACACTTGTGATGTAGTGTGGTTGAGTCATGGAGGTATGACATTATGGACCATATCTTCTCATACAAGTTTTGCTGTGTATTTCTTGTTTCTCATATAGCAGTTATCTTTCTTTCTTCATTGGCTTCAATTATGATATTTCTCCTTCTGAGTTAAATAGCAATGATCTTTGATCTCTGAAACCTTTAGCAAAATAAAACATTTATTCTTAAGTTGAGTATGTATTTTGTACATACAGCAAGAACCTAATGAAATTAATAGTAGATGTCTGAAAAAAATAATATCCCAAATGTACAAATAGTTTCTTTAGAAAATTATAATGAGATTTCTCCATGAGTGCTCTTCATAGATTTTCTTCATATGATTTTAGTTCACTTTGACTCCAGCGACTCTTTGCATTTCAAAACCCCTTTTCAGGTAAAAGCTCATAGTAACCAGTAAGAACCTTGGAAAAACAAAATCTCCAGCACAGTTGACACATTTTTCACTTCCTTGGCTCTGCAGCTCATGGCGGACATTAGTCTTTCTGGGTTTTTGTCTGAGTAACTGGAGCCTACACAATGTTCTGCAGGACAGAAGGGTCAACTGGAATGAGCAAGGCTGTTCATCATTAGTTCAAGGTATATCTCAGCTTCAAGTTGCTGGAGTTAAGGCGACGTCCTACTACTCTATCCTTCTGACTTATACCAATATTGATGAGAAATGGGACAGCAATATGCCCAAATCTAGTCTTTGAACATAGAGCAAGAGAGTCCTTGCTTTGTTTCTTTTATTTTAAAAATAAAAGGAAGAAAACATTAAGAGACAGACAACCTTTTACAAAATAGCAAAAGAACAGTACAGACAATACAGAGTTACAAACAAAGTGGTAGGAAATTAAC